GGAAGGCTTCTTGGACAGAGGCTGCCTCGTAGGAGGCCTCTAATTCCTACCCCGACCCCATCTAGGAGGCGGGGAGGAGGGGAGGAGGGGAGGAGGGGAGGAGGGGAGGAGGGGTCCATTCTCCAGCCTCGAAGCCTCAACCTGGAACCTCATCCAGCCTCCAGCCTCGAGCCTTCGACCCTCGAGCCTCGGACCTCGAGTGTCGAGGCCTCGAGCCTCGAGCCACCGCCGCCAGGCTTCTCTCACAGCTGGGCGGTGAGCGACGGGGGAAGTGAGAATCGAAGAAGAAACAAAACGCTATACACATACACGTTTGGCGCTCCGCGCGGATTCCTTAGATCCGCGCTGGGCCCCCCCCCAGGCGGCGCCTCTGGTGCTGCCCCGATGCGCCAGGGAGGGGGGCTCAGCGTAGATCCAAGAAATCCGCGCGGACTCTTGGATCCGCGTAAGGTGGCGTGGCTTTCTCAGAAGGTGGCGGGGCTGCTCCGAAGTCTTCTGGCCTGCTGAAGAGATTTTTTCGACTTTCCTGCAAGGCTTAGGACACTTCTCAGAAGGCCAGGGGACTTCCGAGCCTTCTGAGAAGGCCCGCCCCTTCTCGCTTCCCCCCCGGGCTGGTCGTCGAATAACGTCGACCCCAGAGGACTCGACCCATCCCCCGGGACCCGTTTCTAACCCCGAGCCGTTTTTCCCCGACCTGGCGGAGGGGTTCCCGTTGCGTGTCCCCCTGGGGGTGTCTGGGGGGGGACCGGGGGACCCCCCGGGACAGGGCCCCGGCCACGCGCGGAACCCCGGCGGAAGCCGGCGGAGGACGGCCGCAAGCCGCAAGCCTTGTCGGCTCAAAGAATACGAACGCCGTTCCCTTTTCGAGCTAGGTCGCAATTCCCAGCCCGACCGCGCGCAATGGCTTCTGTGCACCGTCTGTCAATGCCGCCACGGTTTACCTCGACCGCCCAGTACGAGAACCAGTATGACGTTGTGACCATCGAGGGCAACCATGTCTTCGCTTACGGCTGTGGGCATTTTCGTCGTCGCTTCCGTGGCCAACTACGTCTTTGCTGTGGACAGCCACGCCTTCAATTCCGCAACCAACGGAGCGAATTTTTTGGTCGAGTACACGTTTGGGCCCTCTGGCTGCGACGATGGTATGGTGCACTCCCTCCTGTCTTTCTGCGTCGGTAAGGTGAGCGCTGACCAGCTGCCCGACTGGTCTGGACTTCCAAATGCTGCGAACGAGCGGACCTCGTACTTCTGGAAGGAGCAAGGGCTCAGGGGAGGCGTTGGGCCCTTGTCGTGCGCTACGTGTGGACCGTCTTTGGAGACGTTGTGCTCCTCAGTTGCCGTCGTGGCTTCGCCGGGGACATGGACTCAGTCAACATGCGCGCCGCTTTCGACGCCGTGATTTTGGATTTTGTCACGCACGTCACCTTCCACATACCTATTCTTCCCCGCTCTCGGATGAGCTCAGGATGTTGAGTAGGCTTTACATTGCAACAAGTTGAGCGCCTCGGGAGAGAGCTGGTTCACGGCATCTTCCGCTACGTACCTGTGATGGTAGGGGAAAACACAGACCGTTCGCAATGACCTCTCGGGGCCTACTGCCCTGGGAGGGTGCGCCTCCAGCCTGCCCCGTCCTTGTCCTCCCTGTCCCCCCGCAAGCGCTAGCGTCTTCGATTTGTGCGTGCTAGTTGCTGATCTCGGCCTTGCTGATGGCCGCCCCACCCCAGAAGGGGGCTCGGGGCGCCTCTTCTGCAGTGCCGCCTCCGCAGAGGCGGGGGCGCGCAGGGGTGGAACTCAGGGCCCCCCCTGCGTAACTCCCGGCTTGGGCCCTCACTCTCGATATGAATAGCCATATCGTGCGCCGACTTTCGGTGGATTTTACCCTAGGCCCCTCACGAAGCGTCCCTCTGAAGGTGTTCGGGCGCAGTGCTGTAGAAAAAAGGAAGACGGCCGCAATTCTGCAGACGCGCTTCCGGGAGGCATGGGCGGCTCGAAGAGGGTCTGGAAAACGCCCCAAGAGGGCCACGAGTCGCCGAGAGATCGGCCCAAAACGCCCAAGATGGCGTCCAGACGGCCCAGGGAGCCCCAAAGACGCCCCGAGAGGCCTCCAAGAGGCCCCCCAATAGAGCCCCCGCGCGTCAAACATCGTAGCTTTTCCTCAGGTTTTGGAAAGTTTTCTGGGCTTTCGCCTTTTCGGCTTCCCGCCGCTCCAAGACAGCCCAAGAGACCCCAAAGATCGCCCCAGAACGGCTTCAGAGACCCCCAAGAGACCGCCCAGACGGCCCAAGAGGCCTTTAAGACGACCCAGAAGGCCTCCAAAACGGCTTCAGAAAAGGCCTCAGGCACGCCCCGAGACCGCCCCCGGAGCGGAGGCAGCGGCCGATTGTAGCGGGTTTCGCTCCACATAACCATTCAAGGGGCCCCAGGAGACCCCCAATAGGCCCCGTAGGAGCCCTCAGAAGCTTCGGTAGGCTTCCAGGAAGCCTCCAGAAACGCCCAAGAGAGCCCAAGGACTGCCCCAACAGAGCCCCGGGACGGCTGGAGGAGCCCCGACACAGCGTCACAGCGCCAAACAGATCCGGACTGCCCAAAACCTCGACTGGCATTTGGACGTCTCTTTCCTGGTGCCACCTCGGATAGGGAAACGAACTCCATACACCGACGCTTTTTTCTGGCCCTGCACTGACACTTGCACAAAAAAACGGGCCCTGATGTACACGGAATCATGGTGTATACATTTTTCGCCGTTCCCCTGGGAGACGGAAGTAGAGTACGCACCACACCACCCCGACGCTGCTGCCGACCCTTTTAAAAAGTCCTCGTATTGAAAAACAACCCGCCGTTTTTTTTTTTTTTGTTCTTTTTCTTTTTCTTCTTCTTCTTCTTCTTCTTCTCACTCTGGAAGGTCAGGGGAGGGAGGGGCGAAAGGGGGGGATTGGGAAAGGGGGGGGTACGAAATTTGTTGCATGCAGCAGGTTTCGGCCCCGCCGCCGGGCCCATTCCTCGATACATGGGCGCCTCCCGGCGCCGGGAGGCGCTGGAAAAATCAGCTACGTGAGCCGATTCTCTACCCTGCCCTTTGCTATCCCCCTACCCTGACGCGTCGATTAAGGAATTGGCCGTTTTCGGTTCGCGAGGGGGCGTCGCGTTCGTCATTTTTGCGGGTCCAGGTCCGTCGGTTTCGGTCCCAGGCCGTTTTCACTGAAGGGGGGTTTGCTAAAGGGAGGTTTGTCCACCGCCGACCCCACTTTCGCCCAGCCCGATCATCACCACCCACCAAACCACCCCAACCCAACCCGAAGGCTCAGATTTACCCTCGATTTCCAGTTGGGGGGGGTCAGGAAACATCGAAAAAACATGTGTGGAACCCTTACCCCCCCAACCAGAAATTCGGGTCTTCGGGTTGGGTTGGGGTGGTCTGGTAGGTAGTCAGATCAGGGGAGGGAGGGACAGAGTTCGAGGCTCTGGGTTCGAGGAGGTCGCGTGGCCGTTGCCGGCGCCCACGGGCCGTTCACGGGCCCCCGGGGCCGTCGAGCGCGGAGGTCTGGAGCCGAGACACAATGCACCGGATTCGGCGGCAGAACGTCGGGTTTCGATCCTCCTCCTACTCCTCCTACTCCTCCTCGTCCTCGTCCTCCTTCTCCTCCTCCTCCTCCTCCTCCTCCTCCTCCTCCTCCTCCTCCTCCTCGGGAGCCTCCTGGCGCGCGCCCGCGAGCCTCGAGCCCCGGCGTCAGACGTTCACGCGCGGCGCCGATCCTCCAAACCTCCGCGCGGGGCGGTCCGTATCTCTCGGCGGCGAGCCAGGGGGGGGGGGGGATCGGAGGCGGATAAACCTTCTACCCTGACACGTCGAGTAAGGAATTGGCCGTTTTCGGTTCGCGAGGGGGCGTCGCGGCCGTCATTTTTGCGGGTCCAGGTCCGTCGGTTTCGCTCCCAGGCCGTTTTCACTGAAGGAAGGTTTACTAAATGGAGGTTTGTCCACCGCCGACAGATGCCCCCCCCCTCGAGTAGGGGATCGACCACAGAGTTGATGGACCCCGAAGTCGATTCTCACGTCGAATCTTCGAAACATGCGCAGAATGCTCCGTAGATCCACGAACATGTTAATTACGCATTTTTGCTGCAAGTTCGACGGAACATCAACTGTGGGGCAGCGCAATTCTGCAGTCGATCCCCTACTCGACCCCCGAGAGGGGTCTTGGGACCGATTTTGATCGGATCGATCTGCCCTCACCCCCCTTCTTCGGTATCGTTGAACTGATCCCCGTCCCCATCCCCATCCCCATCCCCACCATCCCACCCCACCCCAGCTGGGGACCCTGAGAGCAATGCAGAAAAAATCGCGACCAGTGTCCCAGACCCCATGTTCCTGCGCCGTTTATTTCCAGCCGGGCCGATCGGTGAGGGCGTCGGGGCCCGAAAGCGGGCGACAACGCCCGGCGAGCAGAAAATTGCAGCGCCAGGATCTCGGGGGATCTGCTCCTCGACACGCGACGGGAGCAGCCTGCATTCGCGGGCGATGTTTCTCCCCCAATCCCCGAGTTTCGCCCGAAAAGTCTGGCCGCTCAGAAGAATGGGAAAACCTTGGGATACACCCCAAGGGGGCTATTCGGACGCACCCCTATCGAGAATGGACACCCCCCCATCGTATATCCCAGGGTTAGGCCCCAAATTTCTGGTCCATTCGGAATCCCCACGAAGCCTGGGATAGGGGTCGACATATCCCCTGTTATGCATGCCCCTCTGGCGGGGAGCATGAGCCGGCGGGGCCCAGGCCATGTCCGTGGGGAGAGGGCTCTGCTGCACGCGGCACCCCCCCGCCGCTGGCCCACCGGGTGGGGAGGCCCGCGCCGGAGGGCTCCCCGAGGGGGGAGGGCTCTCGATGCCTTCGAGGCTCGAGGTGTGCGGCTCTAGCCTGTGTTGCCTGGATCGGCGGGAAGAATTTCGAGCACCAGGGAAGTAATGCCAGCTTGTGATTCACAAATGATGGCCCCCCCCCCCGGGGCTGATGAGTAGACCCAAAGGGGGGGGCCTTGCGAGGTTTTCGAGACTCGAGGTCTAATGCTCCAGCCTGCTTTCGCCTGGATCGCCAGGAAGAATTTCGAGAACCAGGAAAGTCCCAGAGCTGGAGGGTTTCCACGTATCGGGCCCTGGGAGGCGATACTCGTTCGGCACTTCGCTAGCGTGTCGGGCATGCACTGTTTCGATACTCCTCTGTGTGCTCGAACCTCGGCGGCCTGCAGCCGACCTCTCCGCACGGCGCCCGCCCCCAGGAGCTCGGGATATCCGGCCAGCGGGAGTTCCGGGAGGCGGGCGGCAGCGAGCTGCTGGTTATCCCGTGCGTGAACAGCTCGGAGTCCCGCCGCGCACGGATGGCGCCGGCGGCAGCTGGCGGCGGCGGCGGCGGTGACGGCGACGACGACATCGACGACGACGTCGACGACGACGACGACGACGACGACGACGTCGACGACGACGGTCGCGGCGGCGGCGGCGGTTGCTTCAGATGGCAGCGGCTGCGGTGGCAGCCGGCCAGCAGCCGCGGCGGTTGCAGCGGAGCCCCACCGCGGTGATGCGTCCTGCTCTCGAGCCAGGACAGGGGGAGGAGGAGGAGGAGGAGGAGGAGGAGGAGGAGGAGGAGGAGGAGGCGGAGGAGGAGGAGGAGGATAACAGGAGGAGGAGGAGGATAAGGAGGAGGAGGAGGATGAGGAGGAGGTCGGCAAGAGCGGCAGTATTGCTCCAGAGGTGTAGCCCTAGTCGGCTTTTCGCACGCGATGTGCGCAGGCAGCGCGCACGTGGTACGCGTGTGCAGAGGACGGCGACTCTAGCACTCTTTCGCTATCCACTCTCTGCTCTCCACGATCTGCCAACTTCTCTCTACTCTAACGTCTGCCACCTTTTAGCATCGGATCGCCATTCCTTTCCTGCATTATCGGCCCTCTGCTTTGTACCTCCCCTTTCACCTGATCTCGACCCTCGACCCTCCAGCACCTTACCCTTCCCTTCTACTTTTCACTCTCGTCTCTCTACTCGTTGCACTCTTTCCTCTGCCCTCTGCCCTCAGCGCCCGTCCCTGTAATCTCTGTCCTCCGCTCTCTACCCTGGACTCTCTCTTGGTCTGCAGCTTATTTTCAGGGTTGCACACCCCCAGCAACCATCCCAGACTGGGATCTTTTCGTGGACTCACTGTATTCTGCATCCCGTACCCCGTACCCTGGACTCTGTATTCTACAGGCATGCGACACATCCGCCGACCCCTATTTTGTTTTTCTCTGCACAGCGGGAGTTCCCGCAGGGCTGCTGTGGCATTTTCCGTGGGTTTTCGGTGCCATTCTGGGGAGCTCTTGGGGGACTCCTCGGCCGTCTAGCGTGCTCGCAAAGGCCGGAGCCTGTCTGTACGCAAACGGCCGTTGTCGACGCTCTGCAGGCTCGAGGAGGGGGAGGGAGGAGAGGTGGAATAACGAGAGTATGGCTCAAGACTCCCCCTTAAGACGGCTCCGAGGTGATTATCCTCTTACACCCGAGGTGATTATCCTCTTACACCCGTTTCCGGGGTTTTCCTCTTACACCCGTGTCCGGGATTATTCTCTTACGTACTACATCCTTCGACGCTCCACGAGGGCCATGCCTTCGATTGCGTCTCCATCGACCGTCGCAGATCGCGGTGCCCCTCCTCGCGCCCACGCCCGCGCTCCAGGCAGGCCAGTGGGGGTCGGGAGGGAAAGCATTTTGCGCAGGCGCTTGTTCAGCCCATTGAACGAGATGGACGGCGTCGACGGCGACGGCGGTCCGGAGGTGCACACGATCGCGACTCCTACGACTCCTGCAGATGCACATCAACCAGCAGGAGTACCCGTACAGCAGGAACAACATGGGCAGCATGCATCTTCCCACCTTGGAGCAGATCGCCAGCATGTTCCGCATGGAGGTGCAGCCGATCCGCGACACCATCAATAACCTCGAACGGCGGTTCACAGAGATGAGCGGGACCATCGACACCAGGTTCGACACAATGGGGGAACACGTTGATGATATCGACATACGCTTGACGAACTTGGAAAACGCCTTTGAGTCCATACACGCACCGATATCACCACTGAGCGCCAAGAGTGAAGTATGGGACCATCTCAAGGCGTTGGAGGTGGAGGTCGGGCAGCTCAAAGGGAAGGTCCCGACCCACAACGCCACCAGTGGAGCGAACAGCATCGACACTTAAGAGTTGACGGCGGTGATTGGCGGGCTACAGTCGCTATCGGGTTTCGAGGAGGCCCAGGAGTGGCTGAAGAGTTAGCTCTGGGAGACTTATGCGGCCCAGCCAGAGGACATATACGTCAAAAGCGAGTTCCAGGGCTGGATGTTTGCCAATTTTTGGGACGAGGCCAGCAAGGACAACGCAGTGCACACGATCCGCAAGAAAGCTTTCAAGGTGGGCGGCAACACGGTCTGGGCCAAACCGGATAAAGCTCTGCCGGAGAGGATCGTGAATTCGTTCGTCTTTGGATCCAAGCGGGTGCTGAAGGAGTGGGGCTACACCAGCACCAGCGTCTGGGCCGACCCTGTGGAAGGCAAGGTATGGGTCGGTAGCGAGGTCGCGCTGCAGGTGACCATCGTCGACGGCGGCACGCTGAAAGTGGAGTATGGCCCAGGCTGGGAGGACTGGTTGACCCAGGCCGATTTCCCACAGTTCCCGGAGATGGTCAAGACGCTGCTGGAGAAACTGCAGAGGTTCCCAGCCAAGGGGATCGGCAAAAACGACCCCAAAGGGAAAGGATGGAAGGGGAAAGAGTCCCACTAGGGACTTGAATGGCGCATGGGCTATCAGCACCCTGGCTCCAATTTTGGGCATGGAAGCTTAGACGAAGCTTTACCACGCAGATCCGAACCAGGCGTTTCACCATGCTTTTCACAACCTTGCAATCACCATCGATACCATCAACGCTATCAGAAAGCACCCGTTCTTGGTCTTCATTTTGCTGAGCAGGAGGGGCGTGCAGGACATTGCAGAGACACTCGAAGAAAATGGCCTTGTAATGTCACGGCCGCTGCCTCGTGGAATGTGGAAGGCATGCGCCTGGACAGCGATTGCGCGAAATTGGAGCAGCTGGTAAAGGCCATGGAGGAGAGAGGGATCGCAGTGCTTTGCTTGCAGGAGACACACTTGTGCACAGCCCCATACTTCGAACACAATACAGTGGGCATGTAGTCATGTTGTCGGGGGGGCCCGACAATGCTCGCGAGCGCGCAGGAGCGGGCTTCGTGGTTGCTCCTTCCGCCCGGCACGTTGCCATGAGCTTCGTGCAGGAGTCCAGCAGACATGCTAGCCTGACGCTTCGAGTCCCAGGCGGCTCCATGTCTATCATTACTGCGTGCTGTCCGCAATCTGGTCTTGAGTTTGATGTGCGCCACGACTTCCATCGTGACCTTCGCGAGTTTTTGTCTCGTGCCAGGCCTCGCAGACTTTTGCGATTTTGGTGACATGAACGCGCGTCTTGGCCCGGCGTGCGGGCATGCATATGATGTCGGGCCATGCGCTTGGGGGTCCACAGGCGCTGCGACCGACTCTCGCAGCAATCCGAAAGTGCTCGCTGAAATTTGCACTGCGCTCTACATGGTTCTTGCCAAGACGTTCCTGGACAGGCCAGATGACCAGCAAGTGAGCTAGTATGACCTTTGGGCTACGCTGGTTTCGGAGCTCGCGCCGCAGAGTTTTGCCGAGATCGACCGCTTGATTGCGGGGCGCAGGTGGCAGGATACGGCGCGAAAGGTTAGGGCCGAACGGTCGATTGGATTCTCTTCCCACCATTTCCTCGTCGTTGCCCGGCTTGCCGCGGAGATTCCAAAAACCTTTCCAAAGCCGGCGAGGTGCGCCTAGGATTTGGTTTCGCTCGCCCAGGAGAACGCGAAGACGCGTTTCGTTTCGGAATTCTTGCGCCAGGCTGGCGACAACAAGGCTATTGGCGCAGAAGCTGTGGAAGAAGTGGTTGCCGTGGTCAATACTGGCATGGCTGCGGCTGTGGCTGTCTGTCTTGACCGACGCCCTGTGCAGACCGGCCCTGGATGCGACAGGGGGCCTTGTGTCTGATAGAACAGCGCAGCCAAGCTCGCGTGGCCGGCCATGCTGATACAGAGGTTCTGCTGCGACGGCAGATCAAAGCATCAGCGAAGCAGGGCCAGGAATCATGGCTGAGCGACATGCTTTCAAATTGGGGGCGGAGAAGTTTGAGACAGTTCACACGGAGAGGATTCAAGCGACAAGGGCGGCTTAGAGACGCCAGTGGGCATCTCGTCGGGAGCGATGAACGCGCTGGAACCATGGCAAAGTATTGCGCCGCGGCGCAGTGGACACCGCCGCCGCGGGGCAGAGCTCTCCCACGCGGGGCAAACTTGGCCCAGTGTTGCCTCTGCGGACGGGCGATTTCTCCAGCGAGGAACTGCCGGCAGTGCTTGCGACGTGGCGGACAGGGAGGGCTTCGGGGCCCGACTGCCTTCCCTCGGGCCTCCGGAAAGCGCTCGTGTCTGATGCAGACGCCCGCGACGTTCCACTCAATATTTGCAGTGTGTGCTGGATGGAGAAGACCGCGCCAAAACAGTGGAAACATTTCAGCGTATGCGCTGCGTTCGAAAAGGGCGATGTCTCTGCCGGAGAACTACCGACCCATATCGCTCTTGTCTGTTGGGTGCATAGTGGCCGCCGCCCTCGTCCTGCACCGCGCGGTAGAGGGGGGGGGTGTTGAGGGGCGCTTGCGACCGACGCAATTCGGATTCAGAGGACACCGTGGAGCTAGCGACGCATATTTTCTGGTTCAGAGATTGATCGAGAAGGCATGGGCGACCAAGGAAGGATGCCTGTTCGTGCTGCTGCTTGACTGGTCACAGGCGTTCGATCGAGTGGACTCGGCTGCTGTGGTCATCGCCGTATCCCGGTTTGGCATCCCTGATGGGTATATGGGTCTCATTTCAGAGATTTACGCTAACAGGACGTCTGAAGTGCGCGATGCGCACGGGGAGTCTGGCATCTTCGACCAACAATCTGGCATCGCGCAAGGGTGCCCACTGAGCCCTTATCTGTTCATCATCGTGCTGTCCGTGTTGCTGACAGATGTCGAAGGGGCGGTGGTTCGCGAGCTCGGTCCACTTGCTCGAGGGCGAACGTGCTTGGACGTAGCGTATGCGGACGACGCGGCCTTGATCTCTGACGACACCCCTCGGTTGCAGCTTCACTTGCGCACGCGTGTTTCCCATGCGCGGAAGTGCGGCTTGGAGCCCAGCTGGGGAAAAAACGGTGCATCTACAAGCTCGGCATGGAGCGCCAGTGCTCCCATCCACCGGGGACCCAGTTGAACCTACGAGTTCAGCTCTATATATTGGAGGCCTCTTGAACGCTGACTGCAACGCTGGCGCTTTTTCTGGCGCGCAGACTGGGTGAAGCCAGGGGCCCCCTGGACAAATTGAGACTGGTGTGAAGCCGCGCGAACATCAGTCAGAGAAGAAAGATTCAGCTGTTCAACGCATGCGTCATCTCCAAGCTCACGTACAGCATGGAGGCTCTGTGTCTGCGGAAAGCAGAGAGGGATGAACTTGATTCGTTTCAGGCCCAATGTCTGCGCAAGATCCTGAAGATCCCTCATTCGATGATCTCCCGCGTATCCAACGAAAGCGTGCGGCAGCTAGCAAGGCAACGCCGCTTGAGCAGCCACATTTTCATGAAGCAGCTTGACTTGTTCGGGAAGCTAGGTGACATACCAGACTCAGCAACTCGTGATGCAGTTTTCGCGCCCGGAATCCTGAAACCGCCCGTCTTGCACGGAAGACGAGCGCGAGGTCGCCCCAGATTGACGTGGGTACGGGTACTGCACGAGCACGCATCGCAAGCATGTTCTTCCTCTGGCACATCTGTGCTCGCTGAGCTCGGCCCTGTCTACAGTGGAGCCCGGTGGAGAAGCATTGCCCAGACGTGCGTTTTCGGAGAGTAGATGTGCCCACGGCGTGCTGCTGGCTGCCCATCCCCCTTCTCCTCCCTCTCCTCCTCCTCCTCCTCCTCCTCCTCGTCCTCCGCCTGCCTTTCTTCGCCGGCAGGGTTTCTCTGACTGAAGACTTGCGCCCCATAGGTTTTATTGACCGCATTTTTCCCGTGCTTGCGTCGTTGCCTCATTCATTTCACGACTTGCTCAACGCACGGTCTGCTCCCTAGGGGACCGCCCCGGTTGCCAGAGTTGGCACGCAGACATCCGTGCCATCCATGCCATGCCATACGTCTTCTGAGAGCTTATGTATCAGAACTGCTGAATTCAACCCCGTGTTGTTTACCCGATGCGCCGTGCGGCGCGGCTCCACTGACTGGTGAGACTGCGGGTAGGGCGACGAGGAGGATGAGGAGGAGGAGGATGAGGAGGAGGAGGAGGGGGAGGAGGAGGAAGAAGAGGAGGAGGAGGAGGAGAAACAAACATATAATGGGGGAGGAGAACGAGGAGGAGGCGGAGGTGGAGAGTGGCGAGGTGGAGGAGAGGAGGACGAGGAGGAGGAGAGGAGCCTGAGAAGGAGGAGGACGCACTGGAGAGGAGAAGGACAAGGAGAAAAGGAGGATCACCATGATGGAAAAGCAGGAGGAGGAGGAGGAGGAGGAGGAGGAGGAGGAGGAGGAGGAGGAGGAGGGAGGAGGAGGAGCAGGAGGAGGAGAGGAGGAGGAGCAGGAAACGAGGAGGAGGAGCAGGAGGAGGAGGAGGAGGAGGAGGAGGAGGAGGAGGAGGAGGAGGAGGAGGAGGAGGAACCTGAGGAGGAGGTGAGCCCAGTGCAGGATGCCCGTGGCCTACTGGGAGCCGCTTGGAGCGTCGCGGAGATTACATGGGGCTTCGTCCGCGCCTCCTGGACGCTTTTTGGAGCTTCTTAGGGGAATGTTTGGGCTCTGAGCACCATCTTTGGGGGAAAAGGCTCGGGATGATGGGTCGCATTTGTTCTCGAGGGCCTCTCTTGGAGACCTCTTGCAGCGCTCTTGTGAGCTCTTGGGCTCTCTTGGGGGAGCTTTTTGGGCCGTCGTGAGGCCCCGTGTGTCGTCTCGGAAGCCTCTTGGGGGGTTCTGGAGCTGTCGTGAGTCGATTTGGGGGGTTTCATGGGCCGTCTTGACGCGTCGGGAGGCACATGCCAAACATTCTCAGAAGCTCATGGAAAAACACCCTCTTGGAGAGTCTCTTGGGCTCCTCTTGGGGGTCTCGGGTGCGTCGTGGACTGTCGTCAGCAGCTCTGGAGACTCTGCTGAGGCCGCTCGGGGGTCTCTTCAGGTTTTCCTGGCCGTCTTGGAGACCGCAGGTGACATCTTGGAGCCCCGAGAAGGAACAGGGGCCGCCTGGACCCCCCCCCTCCGAAGGGCCCATCCGCGGGTCGCGCCCCCAGGATGGTGCATAGACCCTCCTCCAGGAGGGCGTGTACACCATGCCAGGGGCCAGGATGGCCCTGGCGTGGCACGGTGGTGGTGCATCGGTGCTTCCCGCGCATATGGCCTCAGGAGGAGGAGGAGGAGGAGGAGGAGGAGGAGGAGGAGGAGGAGGAGGAGGAGGAGGAGGAGGAGGAGGAGGAGGAGGGGACGTTCCGTGCCTCCGCCCGCCCGCCGTCTGTTCGTCCCCGTGGCTGCGCCGCCGGCCCCCTCCGCACGAGGAGCGCTGGGCCTCCGGCCTCGCCGACCTCGTCCGGCGGCAGGCGCTCACGGACCCGAAGGCGCGCTCGGCTCCGGCGCCCCGTCCTTGCCGCCGCCGCCGCCTCCGCCGCCTGCGTCGTCGTCGTCGTCGTCGTCGTCGTCGTCGTCGTTGTCGTCGTCGTCGTCTGCGGCGGCGGCGGCGGCGGTGGCGGCGTCGTCGTCGTCGTCGTCGTCGTCGTCGTCGTCGTCGTCGTCGTCGACGTTGTCGTCGTCGAGGTCATCGTTGTCGACGTCGTCGTCGTCGTCGTCGTTGTCGTCGTCTTCGTCGTCGCCGCTGGCGTTGTCGTCGTTGTCGTCGTCTTCGGCGTCGGCGGCGGCGGCGATGGCGGCGTCGGCGTTGTCATCGTCGAGGTTTCGAGGCTTCGGGAGCGGTGGTTGTACGCTCCAGGTGCAGTTTTCGGAGGCCTCCCAGGTTCGCCCATCGCGGCCACGTCTGTGTCCGCCTCGCACCCCAGCAGGATTTGTGGGAGACCCACAGACGTCGTCGTCGTCGTCGCCTGCGTTGTCGTCGTCGTTGTCGTCGTCGGCGGCGGCGGCGTCGTCTTAAGTGGGGCCTGTCCCTCTACAGGTGGAACATTCAAAAATAGTCCAAAATGACATGGACACGATTTTTCAACGAGTTTTGATTATTTTAGAGTAGCTTGACTATTGGAATTAGCCTGACGAAGGACCCAACCATATGCAGGTGTGAGTACCGCAATTGTGATCCCCTTTTTCGGTGGTGATCCCTATGAGGCATCGAACCGTGCTAGGGGTGTGCCGAAATGAGTGGCGTGGTACACGACGCGAACGAAAACGATTGATCTGAGTACGTAGGGAGACTGAGCGCGGGTGAATATGAGCGCGAGTGCGTCTGACTGTGAACGAATCTGCGTGCGAGCGAATCTACGTGCATGAATGCGCCTTCGACAAAGCATGGTGCAATTGTATATAAAAGGTCATTAGTTTGAGAATGACTGCCTTTGAGTACTCGTGACGTTGGGCGTGGCCGCAAGGAGCTTCCCCGGGACTCCCCGATGGCATCGCCCGCGCGCCGCGACGCCAACGCGAGGATCGCGCCCGCTTCCTCCCCTTTTTTTACTCCCTCTATGCCCGCGCATTCAAAAGTCCAAGGCTGCGGGCGCAGCGCAGCGCGGAATCCCAGCGACGCGCGCAGGTCGCCCCGGAGGGGTCCCAGCGACGCGCGCGGTTCGTCCGCTGCGCGCAGCAAAAAGAGCTAGCTGGCTGGCTGATAGCGGGCAAGGCTCTTGCCGCTGGGCAGAGCGACGACGGGCGAGCGAGGCGCGGCACTCCGACGGCCTCCTGCGGAGGTGTACTGGGTGGGGGAGACGCATGCGGACTGCGCCACGGGGACTTTCGGTGGAGCTCCCAATGGGGCCACGAAACGTGTGAGGGGTGTGCCGAAATGGGTGTGCGGGACGCATGCGGGCACACCCACTGGGACCTTCGGTGGAGCTCCGTATGGGGCCACGAAACGCTTGAGGGGTGTGCCGAAATGGGTGTGCGGGACGCAAGCGGGCACACCCACTGGGACGTTCGGTGGAGCTCCCTACGGGACCACGAAACGTGTGAGGGGTGCGCCGAAATTGGCGAGCGGGACGCGTGCGGGCACACCCACTGGGACCTTCGGTGGAGCCCCTTATGGGGCCACGAAGCGTGTGAGGGGTGTGTCGAAATGGGTGTGCGGGACGCATGCGGGCACACCCGCTGGGACCTTCGGTGGAGCCCCCAATGGGGCCACGA